CGCGGAGGGGTTTTTATATCGAGGTGTACTGGACTGAACCACTGCGCGCGAGAGGGGGGTCCGCGGACCGAACCTGAGGCTCTCCTGCACTGACCAGGTGTGCGCATGCGCGCTCGGCCGTGCAGGACACACACACACACACACACACACACACTGCTCAGCAAACCAACCTGGCAGAGCAAATACATATATAGTTATTTCTTTACCGATCTTTACCAAAGGAACACCCCTTTTACAATTTGGATCGACACGCTTTTTTATTCATTACAATACAGTAACTTCATATTACCGGTAGTTTGTAGGCTACCTTCACACATACAGTAAAAAGATAAAAGCGTCATAGCAGTGAATACATTTTTTGATGGATAAATGGTAGGTTTTTCCACGTGCCAATATTGTGCAGAAATAATAATGCATAATCTTTAGAGATGTTATAGAATGTTTAATTGAAAGGAACACCAGCAGATGAACTGACGGAAAATAAGTAAGTAAATAAATAATGAGGGAATATTTAATTATTTGTTTGTTTTAAAACTAGCCTACTGAATGCTGTTCTGTGTTGTAAAGTGTCCTCGATGGTTCTATATGGGGAGGCTGCAGACCTGGAGCCGGCAGATATACGCCCCGGGACCCTGTTGTTCCTGATGCGTCCAGTAGAGGGATATACTGCGAAATAACATCATTAAATCGACGCTTACACATTAATAACCCGTCCATAGACTTGACAATTTTGTGTTTTTTGTTAATTTAAATATAAACGTTACAGTGTAGATCTCCACGGATTAAATTTTCTTTAGATATTCATTTGGGCTTCACTCTCTTCACTCAACCGACAGAAGACTATTTGTTTTTGTGAATTGAAAAATTAAAAATACACATAGTTGAATCAACTATGTGTTATGACAGTATAGGCCAATTCACCGTAGGTTTTTATATACAGGAGACTGAGTGAAATATGTTTTTGTGAATTTATATAAAGTTACATTTAGATATTAACTATATTTAGCCCATTAGACATGCAGTACCGTGTAATCACATGGATCCTCGATGAAATATCTGCTGTACTATTCTATTGGTCATCATACAGCTACAAAACAGTGTCCTACACAGCATTTTATGAAGACAAACACAATTTATCCCTTTTCTAAATTCCATGGGCCATTTAGAAGATATAGACAATATTGTTGTTCACAAAAAAATATTTATTAACACCATTTATGAATTATGATGACTCCCCTATGGTTTGCCACTCTTCTTTAACTGTTTTTTTTTCTTTAACTGCTCCTGCTCACTGATGAAACATTTAAAAATGAAACATTAAAAAAGTTAAAAAGGACATCCATGGTGAATTTGACCTTGTCCCTGTGTGTGTGTGTGTGTGTGTGTGTGTGTGTGTGTGTGTGTGTGTGTGTGTATTTCTTTAAGTAGCTAAAGCAAACACACCTTTATGAGATCCAAGTTAAAGAGACCTTGGTAAAGACAGAGTATGATAAAACCCACATTAAGTGCACATACCCTACATTTGAGTCCAGACCAGTAAGCTATTTTAAGAAAAAATGTATATTAAGATATAAATGAGATAATTAGATCATCTCATTTATAAGAAACAACTCAAACCAGAATCTACATTCAAACCATATGGGGAAGTTTTTAATGTGTTTTAACGTATTTGAGTGAGTGTGCAGTTTAACTCTTTACTTAGAGAGAGAGAGAGAGAGAGATTTACATACCTATTATAAATGTGTCTTTTGTGTGTTCACACCATAGACTGTACATTTTTTTTTTAACATATTTCCATTATCTACTGTAATATTGCTCTATAAACCATGTGGAGTATGTTTTAATGCAAGGAGTAAACAGAGTCTTACCAGAAGAGGCCAAGCTAAAGACAGGCAACAAAAGAAAATTAAAATTAAAATGAATTTTAAATTGAGTAGAGAAGATAGGGGAAGCTAAACCTACACGTGGTTAGCTAAGTTTAAGCCAGATAGAACAGAAACCTGTCAAAATACATTATAGACCCATCCATTGATATATAAATGAATTGATATCTACCTACCATAGCTCTATCGAGCTAATCGTTTATAAATAATAAATGTTGCATCATTGCTAAAAAACAATAACTTTAGCAGATTATTTAACATACAAATGACAGAATCTATTTTTGTCAGATTTTAATTCTAACGATGTTAAACTTGCTTATACGGAATTATTACTTTGTCTTCTGGGCAAGTTTCATCTTCATAAAGACAGAACCATTCAAAGTAATCCTGATTCTAGAATATTCTCCTCTGATATAAAGTTCATTTTTTTCTTCCTTTAAGAAAATGTCAGAACCTTTAAACTCAAAGGTTTATAAAACAAATAATATCATTGAGTCTGTTGTAAAGAACCTTACATGTTTTTATATTGACAAAATGTAATATTGCATTGATTTGTGTAACCTAATTCAATCTCTTTTGATGTCCGTTTACCCCCCTTGTTTTTTTGTTAAACAGATCATTTAATCCGTGCAGATCTACACTATAACGTTTATATTTAAATTAACAAAAAACACAAAATTGTCAAGTCTATGGGTTATATTAAGCGTCGATTTAATGATGTTATTTCGCAGTATATCCCTCTACTGGACGCATCAGGGACAACAGGGTCGTAAAACTCCCGGAGCTTAAAACTGCCGGGGCGTATATCTGCCGGCTCCAGGTCGCGGACTGGCCATCTGTGTGATCTGGAGTATCACAGAACGGCCGGTACTCCAGGACGGCCGGCGGGCCGGCCCACCACCCGCCACACACGCAGTCATAACCTGTTTTTTCCCCCCACTAATCTGTTTCACACTCCAGTACTGTAGGTGGCAGCAATGCACCTTTAAGTTGGATGCCAGCGCGGAGCATTATCAGCTCGGCCCAAAAAAACTGCGATCGCGGCCGAAGCAGCTGTGCGGACTAATCTCGATCACGCGAACATTATTACACAGAGCTGCGCGATCCACTGAGAAGCATTTCAATTCAGCGCAGAATTCTCTATCTCTATTATAAACCCACAGATGGCTGTGATTTAAGCTAGTTAAAAGCCAGATTAAACAGCGCTGATATTCTCAACATCTTGACGCAAAAAAACAGGTGAAACATTGTTCCAAGAACAAACCAGTTAGAAGACATTTCACTCCACAACATGAATTAACTGTAACTTAGTAAAAACAAATTTTTTGGCAGAAATGTGCCTGTATTCATATTAAAAATGCTGTTATATTAATAGTCATGTAGGCCTATAAATGTAGGCTATTAAATGTAATGCAGTAATGTTTTTGTTTAGAAGTTATGGCAGTTTATTTATTTATTTTGCATTAAATATTTATACTAAATGTTTATGCTACAATAGGTTTTTAGAGAATAATATATATATATATATTAGGGATGTCACGGTACCAAAATTCCATTAGTCGGTACCGATACCATTAAAATGTTACGGTTCTCGGTACCAATTTCGGTACCACAGCAAAATCAGTTTGAACTATTTTTTTTTTATAATTTATGTAACTATTTGAAAAAAATATATATATATTAAATTTAATTCAATTCAATGACTTTATTATTTATGATGGTAAATTTATGAAAGGATTGAAGGCTACATGCTGTTTAAACGAAAATATTGATGATATTGAGAAATATTGCTTATAAAAAAAGTCAAGTGAAAAATAAGCAACCTTCTATGCACACATTATTATTATTAGTAGTAGTATCTTGAATTAATGGAGACGTAGTTAAATCTATTGTACAGTAGCCTAATATAATTATTTCTGTCAATTTCTTTAAGTTAAACCAAACTTTTATTTTGACGGGTTGCCGTGAAGACCTTGAGTTTCTGTGTGTGTATGATATGACGATAGTTTTTCTCAAATGAAATGGTAAAATGCTCATGAAGTGACTCTCGGAGATGAATGGAATCATGAATCATGTCATCATATCGTGAGGCAGCAGAGACTGAAAACAGCGCGAGCGTCACTCGATCGTGCTTGTGTGTGTGTGTGTGAGGTAACGTTTAATGAAACCGCGCGTCTACGCCGTTCATTCACACAGAGACAAGCAGAACATGAAGGGTTCATTTTTAAATAGTCGTTTTGCAGTTTAATATACACAGACACCACATCAGCAGCGCCGCCGGTCGCCATGTCTCAGCGCTTTCATGAAGAGGACGCAACTTCACGCCCTTCGTGCATGCGCGCGCATCCAGAACCGGGTTTGACTGGGTACTCGGTACCACCGGGACTTGGTACCGTGACGTTTAAATTTTTTTAGTACCGACTTGGTACCGAAGTACCGAATATTTTGACAACACTAATATATATATTAAAAAAAATTCAGGAATTGTTGAACCAGAATATCAAGATATTTGATTATTTCGCATATGATGGTGAAAAGTAAAAAAGTTTAAGTTAAAAGTAAAGGTAAAGGTAAGGTAAAAAAACACCACCATGTTATATGTATAATAAATATTTTGGGGTATAGCCCTTATAGATTATTTTATCCCTTTAGGATGATGGGCCTATTTGGGAGAAAGTCCAGGGCTGTTTTTTAGCCCCAGTCCGTCCCTGAGCCTCCCCCTACTCCGATGGTTTGGTTGTATTAGTGTGTGTGTGTGTGTGAGGATTCGGGGCCCCCTGAAAAAATATTGATGTGGGCCCCCACCACCCTCCACCAATATCATACACTGTACAATAGATGAACACGGAGGCCCACATATAACAGAAGATGGTGATGTTGTTGTAAAACCTTTATTTTAAAAGTTAAAAGTTTATATAAAAATGACAACTAATAAAAAATAACAAAAAGCAAGAAATTGTTAAATAATAATAAAACCAATTTTAAAAAAGTAATATTTCCCCCCCCCCATCAGTCTGTTATAATTCATAAATCAAAAAGTAAACATTTAGAAATTGACAAGAATGCAGTCTAATTAAAAAAATAAAACCATTTATTGCCTTATTTTGTAATAAAGAT